TGAATGGATTTAACATAAATCCTGTCTTCCTACTCACTATCAAAGGCTGTATGCCCAAGCAACTAAAGGCTGAAGGTCACTGGTGGTCAACAAAACAAATACAATGCTATCATCACATAGCCAAAAATAATGTGTTCCACCTGCTGACCCAGGTCTTCTCCTATGAGAGCACACTGCAGTTGGAAAGAACTTCCATGAGAACAGCAGCCCCAGCCAGCCCTCTGGTGACAGAGACAGATGGAGGGCTGCCAGGGAAGCACTGGCAGGAAACAGACTTAGATCACCTCTCAGAATCAGGACACGAGACACGGCCGTGTGTAGCCTCCCCCAACACCCATGTGGCTTCCAACCTCAAAGGCTCTCTGTGATTTGTGGGGACCACACCTGTTGGCTGAAGCCTACTTCTTCTTGGATTTTTCAGACTGGGGAGGATAGGAGAAGCTGAACCTAAACTTTCTAGCAGCAGATACTCAAGAAAGTCTGTGTATCTATCGTACCTTGAAGGGAAATACATGCAAATGACTTCCTATGTATCAGGAACAGAAAGGAATGGTGTTCTAGGGAAAAATCATCTGTCCCCACAAGCCTACCCAGGGTGCTCTGAAATGGAGCAGCGACCTGACCTCCGTGCTGAGAGGCATGTGAGGTTCCCTTGTGGAACATGGCCAGGAACTGCAGGAGGCGGCAGACAGGCCATCAGCTCCGCCTGGGGTGGGGACCCGATCAATGGGTAGGGTGCCCTGGCACTTGTGTCCAACCTTGACCCACAGGTCACTTGCTTTCCCTTTTAAAAAATGTTACAATAACAATTATAAAAAGGAAGTTCGGTTACATACAGATTAACTTTATTATACATTTCATATGTGGCCCAGGACAATTCCTGCTCACTGCAGCTGAGCCAGGCCAAAGGGTTGGACTCTCCCATTTATGGTGTGAACCCCTGGATGACTGAGGACCATCATAGCAGGATGCAGATTCATATTGGGGAGGCGAATAAAAAAGGCAGAGACATCATACCTACTGGACATCCATATGGGAAAAACTCTAATTTTTTCCCATGTTCTCCAAAAATAGGAAACTATAATAAGGGAAAATTTTTAATACTGACATGGCAGATAAAGTTCACACTACACCTTCTTAAAACAACACTTTTGCAAAGGAGGCCAGGTTTGGAACTCCCCTTTTCATGGCCTCATAAAACACTGATTTATTGACCTTCAGAGATTCATCTTTATTATTTCAGTCTTCCTGGCGTACGGGTTGCCAGTAGATAACTAAAAAAGCAAGCTCATAGGTCCTTATCAACCCCGAGAATGTGTTCCTATCACAGATTTGCCATTTTGGGGGAAGTGGTGGAAAGGAAATAGTACGGCAGTATCTCAAATTGTTATCAACAAAGTGAACTAAAAGCCTGCTGAACTATCAGTCTGTGCTCTCAGAGTGTCTTGTGTGAGACACCTTCTCTCCGACACGTCCATATGAAAGTCCTGCCTCCGGGATGGGCTGGAAAGGCAGGAAGACTGCCCAGAGCACCTACCTACCCCACCACCTCCAGCCCCACCCCAGGGGATTTCCTCCGCAGGCTTGCCTGGCAGGCTTTCCAGGCATGTGTGGCCTATCTGCTTCTTACTAGCCTAGCTTACCACCTCAATAAGGGCCATACGAGACTTATCTCAAAACTATAAAAGTTTAATGCCTCATCTGTTTGGTGGAGTTTCCTGAACTATGCGCTGTGTACTATCTGTAAGGTTGTAAACATATGTGGTTTCTTTTCTGGCAAGATTCCTTTAGATCTTAACCACTCACACCATCCTCTTGACCTAGAAAGCCTCTTCCTTACCCACTCTTGGAATCATTTCTTCTCTGACCCTTGATTTCTTCTCCATCCTTTAAAGACCACCAGGGAACCCCTCCCTCTGACCACCTCCTGGAGTCCTTCAGCTGTTTGTCCTTCCTTTCCTCCACTGCCTGCTCTCTTCCTGTGAGTACTGCTTCACTGTAAGTACACTTCACCCCCTGGTCCTTTCCACAGTGACCTGTGTAGATGCAGCTACGTCGTCACCCTGTTTCTCACGAGCCGCGTTTTACACACCATAAATGTTTGTTGCCATGAGAATGAAGGCATTTGCCCTTAGGTCTTATTAGATATTAGATAACATGAGAAAAGCATGGCTGTGCATTACCCATGACCTTAGCAATGAGTGTGTGTGTCTTTATTTCATACCTGGAATGAACAGCAAGATCATCAACATCAAAATTTTTAAAACTTATTACATCTGAAAACCAATTCAGTCACTAATACAGGCAGACAGAGATATAAGCCACATAAATGTTTTAAAAGTAAAGTTTATAGTCTTTTATGTAAGTCTGAGACTTTTTTCTGAACCCAGGGCCTCAAGAGTGAAAAGCAAGTGCTTTAACCACCAAACTATATTCTCAGTTATTATTATTAATATGACTATTTTTATGATAAGGATGACGATAGGGTCTCTCTAAATCACCCAAGCTGGCCTTCAGATTGAGGTTGTCCTATCTCACCCTTCTAAGTAGCTGGGATTACAGGAATATGTCATCACATCATGCTGAATCTATTGAATGCCGTTTATATGCCATGAAATGGCATTAAATAGGTTGGCCTACAAATGATACTAAGTATAAGTTAATGCTTTTCTAGAAGCCAACTGTTTTGTTCAATCAATTCCCTGGCTCAGCATTTCCTTGGAAGTTTTCTAAATGTGATCATAATATCATGCATGGATTGCCAGTGCAATCTCCAAACTTTTGAATTACTAGAATAGGTTGGCCAAAGTAGTAACTGAACACAAAGAATGTTTGTAAGCACATCTTTTGAGGATGATGTTCTAACATTACATTTAGCTCTGCCTTTTAGATAGTATGTATTTCCACTGGGAAAACTAGGCATGAACAACAATCAGAAGAGCACCCCAATGTCATTTGATTTGATCAACAATGCCAAAGATTATATATGACTTAAAATAACAGAATTGATGCTCAGTGTATATTTTAAGTCTTTTGAATTTTAACTTGCTGTTTAGCAGCACATATTCCTAACTGATATATTGGATATAAAAATATGCCTCTTGTTACAAAAATGCACATAATAAAAGTGGCTTAGAGAGAACTAGAAGGGAAATAGAAGTCTTTGAATGGCTGCTCTGAAAACTAAACCTGTTTTGATAGCATTTGCTATTAATATTAGAACCAAATGCATTTCATGCACATACGTATGTATGTGGTTTTTGCAAAAGATGAGATTCTTTATTAGCGAGCTGTGTGGTCAGGCAAAGTTTCCTTAGGTGGCTAACTGTTCACTGGAGCCCTAGTGCTTTAGTTCAAATAAGGTAGCACCCTGTTCAACCTGTTGAACACTTAATTAAGCAACACCTGAAGTGCTTCAAATGAAACAGTCCATTTGGTTTTTCCGCCTTCCTTTCCCTCAACTGTTCTAAGTGACACATAAAACTAGGAATAAAGCAGAAAGAATTGACACCAGAGCTCTGCTTCAGCCTTCAGCGCGTTCTCACTACTTTTGTAAAGGCTTCCCCCCAAATTAGATTTCTCCCTCTTCTCACCCCAAACATGGTGAAGTCTCCAAATGCACCTCTCCTGTCTTCACAGGCCTGAGAGCTCTGGTGCCGAGAGATGTGAGCAGATGCCCAAGTCAGTTTTACCAGAGAAGAGAAATATGAAACTCCTGGAACCAAGAAAACCAGCCTTCACCCTTCCCTCTGAGGAACTCTGAGGTAGAAATGATTTGTATAGTACAGGATTTGAAGTGCTGGGTCAGCTGCGTTCTATAGCTGTCTTCCGGGGCAGAAGGTCATTATCTGGCTTTATTTAATTGTAATTGTAGTGCCCGATCTTCCAGTCCTGGGCAGCAAGTCTCTGGGAAGCTATTCTGGGAAGCTATCCTGAACCAAGGCTGAAGCTCTTTATCACTCAAGAGGTGCTCCTAAGCATGAGGGCAGGGGACAGCCCTCAGCTCTCGGGTTCAAGGGAGTCAGGGCTCTTCCTGGGTGGAACTTTGGCTGCCTGGGAGGTGGGTTCTCCAGATCTTATTTGCCTCCTTCAGGGAACTGCAGCTGGGCCAGGGCAGCCCCAGGTGCATCCCAGGCTTGGGAGCCCCAGGAGGGATGTGACCTCAGTGAGTTAACCTCTGCCCAGAGCTGTGGATTCCTATGCGGGCCCAGCGCAGTCCCAGGCTGCGGTCATAGAGAGAGGGTCATTGGTCTGATACCAATACTGGCTCCAAGCACTTCATTGTACCTTGGTTTCTTCAATTGCAAAACACATTTTCCCTGAACATGGTCAGAAGGCTTCTAAGAAAAAGGGATTCTATGGTTAATCAAGGGCAGAACCTGGCAGAAATTGGCAGCGGAGAGCCGAGAGGGGCGAGGGGAAAAGAAAAAAAGGGGGAGCGGGGGAAGGCTTGTCCATCTTACAGAAGAACTCTTCCCAACTCTGTCTTTCTGGGAACTCCGGACCCCCACTCCTCCCATCGGAGATTGTTCTCCTCTTCAGATAAAGAGGTAAATAAAAGTAGGGAAAGGTGCGAAGCCCAAGTTAGAGACGCAGCCCTCCGGAAGGGTATCCGCGGGTCTGAGAGCAGATACCCGGGGAGATCTTCAGGAATCGCCTGAACGCTGTTCTGCTCTCAAGGCGCAGGGGCTGAGTCTACACTGCTGCGTGTGCTGCCACTTGCTGTTGGCATTTAATAGGCGCTCAAGCGTTTGGACGGTGACGGGTATCATTAAGCGGAGCATTTGTTGAAGCTCACCTCCCGGTGTTGAGGTCCCCTTCTGCACCCCAATACCGCTCCTCTAGCCCTTTTCTCCCTCCGCAGCCCACCTGCCGTCACCGCCCCCAGCTCCAGGTTTCCACCGCTCCCCCCTCCCCCGCAAGGTTTGCCTCTCACTTTAAAGGCAGAAGGGCCAGGACGCGGCAGGCCACCCGCCTCGTCCCCGGCGCGCGCTCCTTACCTGCAGCGGGGCGAGCAGCGCGCACAGCGCCAGCAGCCGGGACAGCGGGCCGCGCCTCCGGGCGCGCGGGGCCATGGCGCGGTGCAGGCGGGCTGGGCGCCGCGCCTCTGCCGCCTCGGGGCCCCTCGACGCGGCCGCCTCGGCGGGCCCCGCCCCGCCGGTCCTGCAGCCCCGCCGCCCGCCCTGCACCGCCCTCGGGACGGCCGGGGCGAGCTGCGCCCGCCAGGTGGTGCCCGAGCGGCTGAGCTCCCCGCCTGCCTCCCAGACCGCGCCCGCAGGGGAGGGCGGGGCGCCCTGGGAGCTCTCGCAGGTCCCCCACCCTAGGCTCTCCGGGTGGTGGCGCCTGCGGGCGGCCTCTGGAAACAGGGGGGCCGGCCACCAGACCTTCGGCAGCCCTCGATTTCCTGCACCCCAGGCTTTGAGGGCTGGCTCCCCCCTCGGGTCGGTCTTCCCAAGCTGGATGCACCGCCATGAATTAACAAGAGGAGGCCCTGCCTGGAGGTTTCGTGGACTACAGTTAGAGGATCACCAGGATACACCCTCCACGACGCAACCTCAGGAACTCGCCCTTTCATGGCGCTGGTGGTCTCTTCATAGTGGCTTTCTCCACCATCCCTTCCATTTGCTTCTCCTCCAGATCCTTCTCTGGTTGCTGGTAGCCTCCTTGGGGCGCCCCTCACCCCCCTCTCCACCCTGTCTTGACCCTTCCAGCTCACCAGGTCTGGACTAGAAACCAGCCTGGAGGCAGCCTTTTCAGACATAGAATTTTGGCGTCTGGTGGCATGTTTTGTTCCTCTCTTGTCATATTTGCTTAAGGGTATGTCTTCACTCATGTGAATGCACAGGTATACCACTCTTTTGTATAGGAAACTTTTTATGTTTGTCCCAGGGCAATAGAGTTCCTTCTAAATTCTTTGAGTGCCACAGCTATCTTGTCTTCCTTTTGGCCTGGATCATAGCGTACCTAATTCTATTTTCTTGTTCTGAGAAAATGGATAAAAACTTCCCACGACTGTTGATACCCCCCCCCCCATTCTTTGGACGCTAATAGAGACATACAAATTTAGAATTATGTTTTGATAAATTGACCCCTTTATCATTATGACATGCCTTCGTTCATCCATGGTAAAATTTGAGATTCTGACGTCCTTTATTAGATAGTCGTATCACCTTCTTATAATGGCACTTATATGTTATATTTTAACTTATCTACACTTGCTCAAAGTAACACTATGTGTTTTCATTTTATGTAGTTTTGTAATATCTGCCTATTGGAGCATTTAACCATTCACATTTAATGTGGTTATAAATATTTGGTGAGGACTGGGGATTTAGCTCAGCGGCATAAGCACCTGCCTTGCAAGCAGGCCGCTGTGAGTTCAATCCCTGGCACCGAAAAAAATGAAAAAGACAAAAAAAAAAAAAAAAAAAAAAAAAAAAATTGGGTGAGTTTTAAGTCTGCTATTTTGCTGTTTGATTTCTATTCAGTCTTTGTCCCTTTTACTTTCTTTTCCTATGTCCTTTTGGCTATTTATTCTTAGAATTTCATTTTCTTCACTATTAGCATATATATACATATATATCCTTGTTACATATAAATGTGTATACACACACCTATATGTGTTTATCTTGTTTTTGGTGATAGCAAAAAATGCATGTATAATTTATCTAGGATGCTGAATTAAATAAAAAATGTAAACATCTTTTAATGAAGCAATTCATATATTTAAATCTAATATACCAATACAGAAAATGAGAGGCACAAGCATGTTTATAGTATAAAGATGTTTACTATAGCATTTTTATAAAACTTCAAAAGGAAAAAAATGCACATGTTAACGGAGAAATGGTTGGAAATATTAATGCAATTATTTAAGATAATTAAGTAGTTTGGGGAAAATGTACAATCTGTTAAGTACAAGTAGCAAGTTACAGAGCAATATTCATCCTGTGTTTGTAAACAACAACCATAAATGTGATTTTATTTATATAAGCATAGGAAGTTTTTGGACAAAATAATAGCAAACACTAATGCTTATACCCAAGAATCACATTTAATCATCACAAAAGCCTTGTGAAAAACATCATCATTACTCTTGTTTTACAGATAAGGAAGACAGGTAAAGAGGTTATTTGCCTAGTTTTGCAGATCAGTAAATGGTAGAGCTAGCGTTCAAGACCTACAATGCTGGAATCTGGTGTGTGAATCACTGGTCCTGTCTCACTAAGTGCCAAATTTTTAATATCAGGTGAGTTGCAGAAGAGAAAAGAGAAATAATTTTATTTTTTATGTTTTTAAATTACAGAAGCTCCTTGACTTATGATGTGCTTTCATCAAAATAAACCCATTATAAATTGAAAATATTACAAGTCAAAAATATATTTAATACACCTAACCTTTGGTTAGCTCTGCAGTTGTTATGGTTTGTGTCTGTATGTTCCCCCAAAGCCTCATGCAGTCATGGGAGGTGGGCTTTTAGAATCTGGGATTAATTTATGATTGGATGTAGCCTACATACAATATAAGGAACAGAAAGAGTCTTCTTTCCGCAAATCTCCCTTTTTGCTTTTGTTGCTTTTGCTGTTTTCTGCCACCATGAGCTGTTGTTGCCTCCTGCCATGAGCCACTCTGCCTTGAATCCAGCAGACTATGGACTGAAACCTTCACAACTGAACTAAATAAGCTCTTCCTTCCTTAATTTTGGGCATCGAGTATTTTGTTTTAGTAATGAGAGAAAAGTAATCAACACAACAGTCCACTGTAGAGTCTTGGTTCCCCTTTGAGATCTGTGGCTGATGGGGAGGGGAGGCTCAGTGCTGCTGTCTCCCCATCTTGAAAGAAGCATCATACTTTGGTAGCCAAGGAAAAGACCAAAGTTCAAAATTCAGAATCTCAAGTGTGCTATCACTTTTGTACCATCACAGAGTTGAAAAGGTATAAATCTAACCATCATTAAGTTAGGTGCCAACTGTATTTGCACTGAGGAAAAAGTACTTTTGCATTCATAATGGACAGTTGTGAAAACTTGGCAACTAGATGTTAAAATTCTAAAGTACAGGGGCTAGGGATTTAGCTCAGCGGCATAAGCACCTTTCTTGCAAGCAGGCAGTCATGAGTTCGATCCCTGGTACCAATAAAAAGGAAAAAGACAAAAAAACAAAACAAAACAAAAAAACCCCCCAAAAAACTCTAAAGTACAGAAATAGTCACAATGAGAAATGAAACAGTATTGAGTTATCTGGCCTTATATTATCTTGAATCTAGAGACAGGCTTTCTGGAAAAATGAGTAGTAGAAAGCTGGATGAAATACCATTTCACTAAAAGGAACTGACTCGTGGGACAAGGTACTTTCATTGTGGCACTTACTCCTGGCACATTTCCAACATTACCACCTTCTATTTTCTAAAAAAGATCAGGGGACTTAAAACTTCTGCTTGGAAAGCCCCAGAGGTGAGCGTGCTAGTTTGGGAAGCACTTTTGAAAATTACAATGCCAATGTTAGCACATTGCATCTACCAAACATTTGTTTAATTTTTAAAAATTATGGTTAGGTTCTACAGAAAATCTCTCAAATAATTCAAACATTTTATAAATATTAATATAGAATACTATCCATTAACAATAAAATCCTTAAGATGGGCTTGAGGATGTCATCGTTCATAAATATCTGTAAACATATATGCACATTATTGTGAGAAACAAAATAAGTTATCTTCAGTACTAGTTTTCTATATTAAGTGAAGAATGCATACAATTATAGTTAGATGGTTGCTCATTTATGAAAACTACTTTATATGGTATCTAATGCTGTGTAATTACAAAGACCCACATATGATTAAATTTTCATTATATGTGAAAAGTGTACAAATGTTTTAAATAATCAATGCTTTATTATTTATCAAAGTTAAGTGTTTCCAATTTTTAAGAATTAATAAGTTGGGGTTGGGGATTTAGCTCAGTGGCATAAGCACCTGCCTTGCAAGCAGGCAGTCGTGAGTTCGATCCCCGGTACCGATAAAAAAAGAAAAAGTCAAAAAAAAAAAAAAAGAATTAATAAGTTGACAATGAATTTTGTTATTTGTGCTGGGGAGAAACAAGGCACTGTACACATATACAGGAATCACAGGTTTAAATTGAAAAAGATTGAAGGACAGTGTGCACCTTACCCTGGAAATCCCCGCTTAGCTTCACTTCTGCATAAACTCTAGTTTTCAGAATTAAAAAGATAAAATAAGAATGTACTTTATTATTTTTGTTTCCAGTGGATGGCTTGCAAGTATTATATTACTTTGTTACAAAACTTCATTTAAGATTCAGAAAACATAAGTACAATCTTGTAAGTGAAATAAATATCAGGAAGAATAAGAAGTACTCAGTTTATGCAATGTTTTTTCACTTGGTGACATAAAAATAGTTCCCAGGCACAAACTTAAAGTTATTAGATAAACAAAAGACTTCGCAAGTTGTCCTTATAGTGAAAGGTTCTTTTTTGTCTTTTTGAGACAGGGATTCATTATGTGGTTCAGGCTGACCTTGAACTCACTTTGTAGCCCAGGCTGGTCTTAAACTCAAGCAATCCTCCTGCCTCGGCCTCCTGAGTGCTAGTTATAAGTGTGTGCCACCACACCTGGCCTCTACTGAAAGGTTCTTACTACCTACTCTGTGATGTTTTGTACTGTGATGTTTTGATCTTCTTCTTATATGTCCCATAAAACACTTTGAAAATAAGTAAGCCACTGATAAATCAGCACTGACTCAGATAAGTCAAGATGTACCCAAACATAAAAGAAGGGCTTGAATTATAAACATGGTGCTCCAACCTTGCATTTTTGGTAAGACAAGCAGTTTTGTAGTTTTGCAGATCTGGTATTCAAAGTAAATTGATTTCTACACTGAATGAGTAAAACCAATCATTATCACAAACTTTCTGAATATTCCATTGCCATAAATAATTTCCAGTGGAAACAGGGATATAATTTACATCTCCGTTATTTCTCTCTTTTTAGTTCTACCTATGATTTGATACCACATCTGGTGGAGGTGGCTGTTATGTTTTTTAAGGATCAACAGAAGTGCAAGTATTTTTCTATATGTTGATAGCAAAGTTTTACTTTCAAAGTGATCAGGTTTAGG